CCTTTTTTATAGAGAATTAAATTTCCTACAAAATTCTTCTAGAACATTTTACTGTACAATCAATTAATGATGAGGCATGAATTTTATTCTATTGGACTGAGAAAAAAATAAAAAACTGYGATGCGGAGGATYTTCCTATTAAAATTAAGAGCTCATATTTGGTGAGAATTGTTTTAAGGTGTCTAGCAATCCATTTTTCCGTAGCACTTGTAAAAAAACAAAGTCATTTTTTTGACCCACCCTAATATATATACGCACGAAATTTTTAATTAACTCTAATATAAAACCATAAAAATTAATAAGTAAATATTTAATTGCTTGGAAACATAATAATGAATGTTCCTTTCAATACATTCTTTCTATCTGTATATACTACGAAAGGCATTTAAATACCATCCCTGCGATTCGAAGTTTCGACGTTTTTTTTTCTAATTTCTAATAAAAATCCGGTAATTAAAATAGTTTTCTCGTGACGCAAAAATGAAAGAAATGTAATAGGAGCACATAATGACCAAAGAAGTAACATGATAAAAATGTCATGTCTAGATTTAGACCGCTCATTGGTTGGAAATGACGCAAGTAATATCCAATGAAAATATAGGAAATAAGTAAAGACTATAAGTATAATAATTAGTGATAAGATGGTAACTAACCATAAGAACTTATCAACCATTAGATCTGATGGTAACTTACCTTAAGACTTACCACCAGAACTTACTGACCATTAACCCCAAGCAGCAATGATTTTGAAAAATAAACGACCAAAAAAAATAATTTTCTTTTTTTTTCATAAAGACATAGTTTAGAACATTGTTTTGACAAAAGAATAAGAAAAATACAGAAATAATCAATATTTTTATGTTAATTTTGGATTTTGTTCTACATTACAGAGAAGAGCTGAATATTGCAATGTTACATGTACGTCGACTTTTTAATCTTTCTTTTCGAATTACTATTTCGGAAAAAACATTTTTCGGAAAAAAACGATTCTTTTTCTTTGCTTTCACATTCTTACTTTCCATTTTTTATTATATTTAAGTGTAAAAAATCATAGAAATATAAAATAATACGCCGTTCGAGTTAACTCGAGCGTGCTGCTTAAGTGGTTAAGATCCGATGGTAATCAATCGTAATTAATATATTTTTCCAAAAACAGATAGTTTTTATTAATTTGTATAGATTTATATTATTTCTAAGGGTCTTTAGAATACCTCAATGATAAACATGTATTTAATTTATGCTTGAAAGTTAAATAAATTAAATTTGATTAAGTATTTAAAATCTAGATTACTATGTAATTATATTATAACGATTATTTAAAAAAAAAAAAATTCTTTTTAAAGCATTTTCTATAAACTTTTATAATATTATACTATTCTTTGGAATCTGTACATTATTTTGAGTGTTTAAATGTTTATAATTTATGTCTGGAAGTTAATTAAATTAGTTTTTTAACGAGTAACCAAAATCTGGGTTAATAGGACACGACACTTAATTGTAAAATAATATTATCTAAAGCATTTTTATAAACTTTTACGAAATCATATTATTCTTCGAAGTGTGTAGAGTATTTCGAGTGTTTAAATGTTTATAACTTATGTCTAGAAGTTAATTAAATTAATTTTGTAATAAGTGACCAATATCTATAATGTTGGGCGTTTGTTAAAAGCTTATTGGGTATAACCAACCAATGAGCGCTCTAGTTGTAGGACCACCCACATTCATCTCATAGACCTCTTCTACCTCCTATACCATCATACTTTCCCATTACATTTTTCTTATTTTTGTGGCACTAGGAATAAATTTTAACATTCTTACACCAGGTGGACAATTTTAATTCGACTATCAAAAAAATCTGTATTTTCTATTGGAAATTGGAAAAAAAGTCAAAAGTTTGATTTCAATTTTTTATTTTATTTTTGGAAGTTAAATAAATTAGGCATTTTTATCGATGATATATATATATTTAGATTAATATATTCAAGGCAATGAATGTACTTATAGAGTAAAAAATTTGTTAGGCACGAAGTTCAAATGTAAAATTAAAATTATGTCAACTAAAAAGAATAACCTAATAATTAAATGTTTTGTCGCAAAAAAAAAGAAATAAACAATGACGCAATGAATATCAATTCAATAGCAATATTGACGAATATGATAAAATAATGAAATTTAATATGTTAATAATATAGAACTATATTTACAGGGTATCACAGCAAATAAAAATATTTTCTTTAAGTTATTATTCCAATTACATATTTTTCGTACTCGTTTACAGTAAAAACGTATATCAATCAATTTTTTTTTTCTTATAGATTTAATTTTGCAAACAAAAATTATTTCAAATCACTTATTAACAAATAAAAATGAAAATATACGATTTAATTATTATTACATCTATTTACCGAAAAATTGAATCTATCTTAAAATCTGAAAGATAGAAAATAAATTGTATATCTGTCAAAAAAAAAAAGTTATCTTTTTCTTTTCTCGAGCACATAATGTAAAAAAAGTTTATATATATATATATGTATTTATTAATTATATTTTTTTTATTTTTTACTATATTAAAAATAAATATATATTTTGAAAATAAAGAAAAATATGAGTAAAATGAAAGAAAACGCAAAACAAAAAAAAGGACAGAGAGAATGAGTCGATAAAGTAAATTGTAGTAGAGAGATTCGTGCCCGAAATAAATGATAAACGTTAAAATCGGTATTATATTTATATTTATAAAATTATTCATCATTAGAAAGCACATATGATCTACCTATATGACGTAATTCGCTACGACACGCGCGTACGAGCGCGCGAATTTACGAACGCCCACGCACACACACTCGACAAACAAACACACACGTAAGAGACACGCGCGCGACTGTACACGTACATTTACCTACGTATTTGTTTGTTTTGTTTTTTGTTTGCTTTTTTTTTTTAATTCTGTATATACGTATATATATGTACATAAGTGTAAAGATGAGTACGTGTCTCTTTCTTTCTCTCTCTCTCTCGCGCTCGCTTACTCTTCCACTCTTTCTCTCTCTTTCTCTCGCGCTCGCTTACTCTTCCACTCTTTCTCTCTCTCGCTCGCTTGCTCGCTCGCTCGCTCTCACGTTTGCTCTCATTTTTATCTCCCACTCTCTTTTTTTTTCTTTTCCTATTTATGTACGTGTACATATTCAGAGTACCTCACGAATGTGTTTTACAGAGATTATAACTTTGTAACTTTTTTTTTTTTTCAATTGGAAGAAAATGCAACGAAGAACGAGACGCGTCGAATGTCGATCGTATTAAATAATAAATCAATTATCGATCGAAAATAAAAATGATATTTCTTTTTGCGACAATTAGATTGCAACAGCATTAATGAACAATTTCAATCACAATTATAATATTAAAAGCAAACCAGGCTTTAAATATCTACGATCATCTTATATATAATAAAAATATACACGCGATATATATCCTTTAAATATATTCAATAATAATATATTAAAATATTAGGAATAAAAGAAAACTAAATATAATTAACAATTGTATATATATATTTTTTTTTTTAAATTCACTTTCAATTCAAGAGTTTCGAAATCACATGATGAGCATTTTTTTTCTTGCACATTACGCCTTTTAAAAAATACAAAGATTATAGAAACAAAGTTTTTATATAAATTCAATCTTTTCGTTATTTCTTTTTCTCATATCAAAATAACACGAGCCGTAAAAATAAAATATTTTTTTTATTATGATTCTTATATATTCTTCTTTTTCTTCTTTTCATCATAATCTTAAAAAATACGAGACACAACGTATCAATAAAATTAATTCGTAAAAATAGCACAGCTAAAAAAATTGACCAACATAAGAATAAACTTTTTTAAACGATGACATTTAAAAACAAAAGAAAAGAGAAAACAAAATTTGTACGTATATTTCGTAAATTTCAACACAATTATATTCGACGTGTAACAAATCAAATATTATAATCTTTAAGAGATCATTCAATGATTCTCTTTCTCTTTTTTTTGCAACGTATTTCTAATAAATTATACGATGGCAATCAAAATATTTTATAATTTCTTTTATATTTTTCTATATATTTCTACGAAACGTAATTTCTAATTTTTTTTATCTCATCTCGATGCATATTTCACAATATATGTATATCGTTTACGTTGCGTCGCAATTTCTTCCAAATCTATTTAAACGGTGAACTTCCTGAAAAAATAAGACACTTGCGTGAGATTTCTTTCATATGTAATCTATACGTCTATACACACATCTCGCATGTGTATACACATATAATATTGTAATTAGAAGTTTTCTCATTTATATAACAACAGATGTCATTTAGAAGTAATTCAGTGTGCATCTAAGATCCAAAAGAGAATTACCGAGCTATGCAAAATAGAAGATTGATTTCATTTTTTCACACGTATACATATATAAATATACGTAAGTTTATATAGTAATTATATATAAATAATCTATCGAGCAATTACTTATATATAACACGTATATAAATTAATATACATATATATACATATACATTCATACAATATATTTATATTGATATAAAGGTACTCTTACTATCAAATAGAAATACGCATACGCTAAATATTCAATAATATCAATATTAATAAAATAATAATAATTATAATTATAATAATCTTAATAATAATAATAATAATAAATCTTAATCTTATAATAATATAGTAATTGCAACAATAATATTGGTAATAGTGATAATGATAATGTCAATAATATTAATAAAATAAAATAAAATAAAATAAAATAAAATAAAATAATAATAATAATAATAGTTATAATCATATTAACAACAACAAGTATTCTTTGTCACATTTTGGTTGCAGATTCTTACAATCACAAATATATATATTATTCATAATGCAATAGTCAAGAAGATGTTAAATTAAGAGAATACATGATAGTGCTCTATTCTTCTGTGTACAATAATTAAACCTATAAATAGTTTTATGTTTAACAGCCAGTGGTATAGTAAAGTATACCTTTGAGGTACCTACGTAGTTTTCTTTTCTTTCAGCGATATTAAACAAAATATCGACGGAGAGAACAACACGTGGCGCGCCATTAAATTCGGGGAGAGTAAAACGTGAATTATTCCATCGCCGATATTATATTTCTTTTTATACATCTAATATCGCTCGAAAAAGCTGGGATGCTCCGAGAAAGGTTTTCTATATGTTAAACGTATGTGTGTGTGTGTGTGTGTGTTCTTTTTTTTCTTTTTTTTTTGGTGTGTACAATGTGTTTATGAATTATTTATTGTTAGCATGGCGACGTGCAATTCTATCGTAATTCCTTTTTTCCTTTCTTTCGTTACAACAGATACAGGTAAAATTATTTATTTCATTAACGCTCATCGTTAATTCCCATGTCCCCATATTATTATTATTATTATTATTATTATTATTATTATTATTATTATTATTATTATTAATGTTATTAATGTCACACATCAGCCTCTCGTCATCATTTCATTTTCTTTTTTCTTTTCTTCCTCTCTCTCTCTCTCTTTCTTAACTTTTTAAACAAAACTTTTATTAATAATAAACGGTCCAAGCAATAATGACAGCCTTGTAACACGTACGCATTCACTCACACACCAATATCAATGAAACTTCTCGACACAGCCAAACATAGAAATGAAAACTTTTGGTCCTTCGAGTTCGGATAAAACGGCAGATGCTGTTTTTTTCTTTTCTTTTCTTTCGTTTTGTTTGTTTTTTTCTTTTTTTTTTGTTTAGTTTTGTTTTGTTTTGCAAGAAATAAAAGCTCCTTTTTCTTCACCACGGATTATTTATCACGATGAACGAAAAGGTTCTAGAGAGCGCCGCGCACTATAGAGCTTTGTATTGTATTTGGTAATACGTATCCGAATACTGATTTCGTGTGATAACGTTCATATATAATACAATAGTACCCCATTTACGTATAACGCATATATAATGCATCTTTGATAGTAGCCTTTTCTTTTTAGGCTTTTATTTTCATTTTCATTTTCTTCTTTTTCTGTTTCTTCATCTTCCTCCTCTCCGTCACCGCCTGCCTCCCTCATCAACCTCTCTGCTTTATCTATTTTTTATTATTTTTATTGTTATTTTTTTCTTTAATAATTTTCTTTTTATGTTTTCTTCTTCTTCTTCTTCTTCTTCTTCTTCTTGCATCTTCAAACGTATATCACACATAATCCTCTTTTACCGTCCAACAGCGTAGTAGTAACCCGCAGTCACTCGGACAGCAGCTTTTGTAGCAACGATGGACTATTAGGATCACCTCGTACCGCTTCCTCCATAGTAGTCTAAAATAAAAAAAAATAAAAAAAAATACGTCACACATGTTCATTAATAAATATACGTACTAACTTATTTTATTAGTCATCTATGTTGATTTATTCCAACAGAGAGTAAAAATAAAAAAAAAAAAAAATAAAAAAAAAGGGAAAGAGAGAAAAAAAAGCCAAGAAACACAACGAACGAGAAATTTTGCTGCTACTGGAATGAATGACACCAAAATTACAAAATCCAATAAATTGGATGGATTTATTTTTAAAAAGCTCTCCTTGTGAAATAAGCTTCTACGAATTAATGCGAGGAAAAGGAAAACAAAAAATTGAAACCTTTTTTTTTTGAACAAGAGGAATTTTCTATGCATTTTTTAATTTTTTTTTTAAAAGCAACGATTGTTTTCACTACGCGAAGCAGGAATAATTATTTCGAGCCTATATTCACACAGAAACACCCATTTTATAAAGATATATTCAAATATCTAAAGTTTTATATTGATTTTGCTAAAAAAAAGCAAAAAAAAAAAACAAAAAAAAATGCCAAAATCTATTTACTATTGTGTGACACACGTCGGTCATGCAAGAAGAACGAAATTCCTATATTCCATATAAAATAAATTTAAATAAATTTAATTATAAATAATTTTTTTCTTTTTCTTTTTTTGTAAATAAATTTACTGTGAAAAAGCATTACGAATATGATTATCGGCAGTGTAATTATTACTCTAATTGCGAATAAAGCTTACAAAATCATCACTTCGATGTTGGTGAACGAAACATAAATTTGATCCTCGTGTAAACGGTCACACACAGCACATTCGCATAAAACGACGAAAGATATATGTATGAGAGAAGATGTTGGACCTTTTTTAAAAAGAAACAAAAACAAAAACAAAAAAACTGAGAAAGAAAACGAAAAAGAGAAGGTCATAATACCAAACTGACCATTAATATTTCATCTTTTCTTTCTTTCTTCTATTTCCTTTCTTTCTTTCTTTTTTTCTTTCTTTCTTTTTCTCTCTTTCTCTATTTTCTCCCCTTTTTTCAATTAGAATATTATCTTTTAAGAGTTCAATAAATAAATTCTCTATACGCGAAATATGGTTATAGACAATTAATATTTATATTATTCAAATATTTAATTTTGGATTTGTATAAATTGAAATTAATGTTTAATTACAAAGAATAAGAGGAAGAAATTAATAGTATATAAAAATTGAAAGTTAAATAATAGAATAACATGCGAAAAAATGGTAGACAAAGATTTAGAGAGTAAAAAAAAAGAAAGAAAGAAAGAAAGAAAGAAAGATAGAAAGATAGAAAGAAAAAGAGAAAAATTAAAAATAGATAATCTATATCTACCTTTTCCCTATTAACGTATACTATTAACGCTCAGTGTGAAAAATGAAAATAATCGTTAAAAAAAAAAAAAAATATATATATATATATATACATATAAATATATTAGGGTGGGTCAAAAAAATCAATTATTTTTTTTTTACAAGTGCCACGGAAAA